CTCTGTGTGCAGGCATGTGTGTGTCCTAATCTCTTTTTATAAGGATACTGGTTATATTCAATTAGAGCAAACATATATGACTTCTTTTTACTTTAATTGCCTCTTTAAAGCCCTGTATCCATTCTGAAATACTGGGGATTAGCACTTCAACATATGTATTTTGTGTGGGGGGAGCAATTCAGGCCATAACAGTATCAAACCATATCTACTTATTTAAAACCTGCTTTTTTCACTTAGCATCATAACAGAAACACCATTCTGTGTCAATAAATATACAAATTATCTAAAGTTGTGTGTTTAATGGATGTAGATGCTTCTACTGCATATGTAACATAGTGAATTGAACCAGTTCCATTATTGCTCTACTATTAAATATAAGTGGTTTCAATTTCTTTTTTTTGCTATTTTAAACAATGCTTCAGTGAATAGCCTTGTAACAAGGTCTTGTCACATAAGTTTAACTATGTTCAGAGCTTAATTTTCTTGAAGTGGGGCTCCTGAGGCAAAGGATAAAATGTTTCAAAAACTTTTGATACATTTTTTAGATCACCAAAAGATTATTGTTTGAATTTACAATTCTTTGCCAGTGTGGTTGAGCTCTTTGTTCATTCTATTGACCATTTGTAACTTTTTTGTTAATAGTCTATATTTTCTGCTCATTTTAATGTCTACATTTCCTGAATTCAATTTTTTATATTTAACCTCTTTTTATCTAGAATTTCTTTTATTTTGCTTAATTTTTTTCAAACATGGTCTATTGGATAATTTTTTCTACAATACAACTATTTTATGTTTCTGGGCTTTTGTTTGTTTTTTATTTTTTCTTACATCTTTTTTACATGTCATGTTGGTATTATATATATGGTAGTATAAACCCACTTATATTATTCTCTTCCAAAATTTCTTACACATTTAATATTATATATAAATTTGAGTAGCCTTGTGTTAATTTCTAGACAATAAAATTCCAATTTGTTCTTTTTATATCAAACTGTCCTGTGGATCTAAGATTGGATTTAGGCTAATTATTATTTTTCCCTTTTGGCACTCAATTTAAGATTCTTTAAAAATCTGTCACCCTATTTTTTTATGTGAGTGGATCATATGTTTATATAATTATGAACTAGATCTTAAGTTGTTGACCAAAATGTTATTGGTGCTTAGTTGAATACATATATGTAGGTTTTCAGATTTAAAAAGGGCTTTATTCTTTTCTTTGACATCCCTCCCACATTTATCCTACTTTTCTGCAAATCAGAAAAGTTACCAAGTTACCAAGATTGAGTGTCATATATCTTCTTCTTAATTACAAGCAATCTTTTTGACATAGGCCTAATTTCAAATAGACTTGCTTACTTTTAAAGAATATTTTTTAGGAAGTTATACATTCTTCTCACATTCTATGTTCGAAATTTTAGAATGTGCATTTTATACAACACATTTTCCCCAGAATACATCTCCTTATTCTTCTATGATCCACAACCTGGCTAATTCCTGTTTATCATCTTTGGGGAAGTCTCTCCTGACCACTAACACCTCTAAGACACATATACTTCAGGTGCTCTATAACATCATACTGTACTAATTTTACTTTAATTAGCAATTTATACACTAGACTATAAGCTCCATGAATACTAAGACTTAACTAAATTGTTCATTGTTGTAGACCTTGAACTGAATGTTTGGTATAAAGTATGTGGCAATAAACAAATAAAATACTGAGAATATAGTAATATTTTACTTTAAGTCAAATATCTGATAGCTAAATACAAGCACTTAACTCCTTTGTGTGTGGCTTGTACATGTGTATGTTTGATTCTGGGGTTGAGGGAGAATAGTGAGGTTCAAGTTTGCCTATAGTTCCCTCAGTGTACTTAATAATGAATTTACATGTAATTAATAAATTTTAGCATCTTTGCCCATTGAAGTGGCTGGGAAGGAGAAAAGTCATTCTCTCTAGTAGTGTCCTTATGCAGAAAGGAACAATCCCTGGGTTTGATGGAAGAATCGAGAGCAAAGGAATTTAGTACATGAAAATGAATTAGAGCTTTGCACAGATCACCATTCTACGCTCCACCTTTCCACCCTACAATCATTAAGATGTTTTGTAAGACATCATTGAGTTCATTTGGGGCCAGATTTCAATGTTATTATATTGTAGATGACTCTGAATTTTGTTTATATTTTTTTCTCATCGCTGTAGATTTATGTATATGTCTTTGAAAACATCAAGTCTGTTAGACTGGAAGCACTACTCTTATCCTTGCTGAGCATTGTGGTGCTTGTTCTGGTTAAAGAATTGAATGAACAGTTTAAAAGGAAAATTAAAGTTGTTCTTCCTGTCGATTTAATTTTGGTAAGTATGAAATCAACATTTAGCATTCCATCCTACAATGTTTGCCAGTTGTTGGGGGTACCTGCAGGGGTTCACTACATTGTCTACTGTAACCCACAACCAGTCCTGTCTCTCATTAAAATAGGGCTATATATTTGTGTGGCTATATATTAATTTAAGAACAGGAATCATTTTGAGTCAATAATTTTAAAAAGAAGGCACGCATGTTTTTAATTTACACAGCGTTTCTCCATATTCTCATATTTTTTTACATAAATAAGAGAACATATAGCCTAAGATTTGAATAAAGATGAGGATGAGACTCAAGAGATCTGTCATGATTTTCCTTAAAGCAATAAAAAGTGATACTAAATTCTATTGATGTGGTATCTGTAGGATATGCATAGAAATATTATCAATTTATAAATGTCCGTTAATGATTGGTAGATTTATTAACTCTTCTTTTAATGACCTAGTTTTGCTTTATTGAAAAGCTGCTCATGATTTTCACTGGCCAGGGCTGGCTATCTAAGATATTTTTTTGTTGTACCTAGCAAAGCAACAAATCATACTTTGCTCTTAAAATTAATGGCATTAAAAAATACATTAAAAAATTTTAAGACCCTCCCCGGGAACATTTAACTAAAAGCATTAAGGAAATGTTAATACAACCATAATCTACTAAATTACTTATCATTAGTTTGTTTTAGTTTTTTTTAATGGTCTTTAAGTTATACATGCATATGACAAGTTGTATCTAAATAATTTCACTTATCGAAATATCTGGTTAGCACATTAAAACCTGTCTCTAGGGCTATGACTCATTTCTGTAGAACTGAGATAGATGGCCTTTTTCCATTTTCAATAAGGGTCAGATATCTTGTGGCTGTAGTACATCTTCTTTTAGAGCTCACAATATTTTCTGAGCTCATATAAATATTTTATGAAAATTATTAGCAATTAAATATATTAATTGGCTTAGTCATTTTTTAATATATTAATACTTCTAACCTAATAACCTGAATTTTTAACTACTACCTCATTTAGAAAATACTGTTATATCATAATATTTATAAATTTTAACAGTATTACTTATAATGTTTTGTTATCTTTTTAAAAAATCCTCAAGTGTATTTTGCTTTTTAAATCTATTTAATGTTTTACAAATCTCTGCAAATCCAGTAAATATCACTGCAGAGAACAGAAAAACTTATAATATAATATTATTGGACATTAATTATTAGAATATTTCTTATTTTGTTAGTGTGATTTTGCCATACTATTTTTCCAGCTATGAATATTATAAATTTGTACTTTAAATAGATAATTGCTATGTCTCTTTTTATCAAAAATATATAGTATATAAATAGTTGTAAGTTGATGTTAAGCTGATAACATAACCATTTAAAATTTCTAGTACCTATTACAATTATCAGAAGAATGAAAGGGGTTTGTGAAAACGGTGGAAAACATTAGGGTGGCATGGCTGGTAACAAAAAGGCTGAACTGCTTTAATATACATTTAAAGGTGATTAAAGATACAGGAAGAGAACATGTGATCTTACCTGTCATATATTCTATGTCATATATCATATAATGGAGTGTAGAGCACCTGAGACTTCATGGAGTATATTTTACATCAAGATACAGCAAAAGCTCAAAATTTTAACATATTTTAGGAGAATACAAATTATTATTGATTACTAATCTATTTAAGAATGTTGATGCAATATTTCATCAATATTTTATAAAGCATTCCTTCATGTCACAAAAGACAAGTATTTAGGTTGGATTGTGATGTCTGCACACACACACACACACCACTCAAATAGTCTATATTTTGCTCTCCTTCAAAATTAAACATATTTGGGTTGACATATGGTAGGATATTTTAAAAAGATATTATTGAAATGTCATTTAATTTTTGAGACTTAAATCTCAGAGAGATTTTTGATTTTTAAAAATTTCTAGTTTTTAAAAATCTGTACAACTACCATATTACTCTTGATGATCATGAGACACATGAAAAATTTTTACTTTTTAAAATAGTTTTTAAAAATACCTTTAAAATAGTAATAATTTTTTTCTTTTTTTTCAAATGGAAATGCACAGATTATTGCTGCATCATTTGCTTGCTATTGTACCGATATGGAAAACACATATGGATTAGAAGTAATTGGTCATATTCCAAAAGGGTAATGTAGCCATTTTTCTTACTTTTTTGCTTATTTGTTTTTGATAGAGGAAGAGATTGGTGGTAAGTGGTATGGATTTTCTTTCAAAAGCCCTGTATGGACAAAATTCTAATTAATTTTTATTTTTAAATGATAAAATCAATACACATATAGAGAAATAGTAACTTCTTAGACTGCTTATCAATAACTAGGAAAGTTGATAACTATTTTATACAGTATTACTTCATGTCAAAGATTTGGAAATTTACAGGGATATTATTTCAAAAAAAATGGAGGACATTGACCTTCCAAATTAGAGTCATGCTCTGGAATTTAGTCTTCCCCATTTCACACAAATATTCTAATGACTATTTTTATTTTACTTGAAACATAGTAAAAGTACACATGCATTATCTGAAATAGCAAACCTATAGGCCTGGGTGGTAGATAATAGTGAGGGAGAAGGTGCAGTGGAGAAGAGGGCATGGTTCTCTATCTGTCTTAAAGCCTTCCCCTGTACACTAAGGGGAAGGTTAACAAGAAGTGTTCACTTTAAAGGGCAAGAGATTGTTTCAAATATAGCCGGAAAGAAAACAGAGACATTTTTTGGAAAGAAGGGGAGCGTTATGGTTTATTTCTTTTTAATGGACTGTATATACACTAATATTTATAAATTTGGGGCAAAATTATAGTTGTTGAGTCCTCTATATTTTTATTTTACAGTCCCAAATTTTGGTTTCTAACTACATTAAAATGGAGGAACAGTGGAAAAATTTCAGAGATTAAAAAGACAAAAAAATCTCATCGAGTAAAAAAAAAAATAGTGTAGATGATAGAGGCTTTGGTCATCCCTCTTGCGACCAAATCAAAGTTGTGACAGAAACACAGAGCAAACAGCATGCAACGTCACCTGGGACTTAGATGAACAAGCCCTATAACTAAGGAGAGAAATAAGAAACCACCCTGCAATAGGTAGGGTGGGATGAGGATGCAAGGCTGCCAATTCCATGTAGCTGAGTGGGACAGAGGCTGTGGCAGCAACAGCCAGCAACTGCTGACATCTCTTAAAGGGACCGCGTTCACAACCAGTCTTTCATGGCGACGGACATGCTTGTCTGAGCACCAGCATCAAATAGGCTGTGTGAGAGGCACCAGGTACTTACAGGGATCACTGAGTTGTTGGAGTAGGGGCCGGAGGTGAAGATCTCTACTAAACAGAAGTACCAATGGTATCCATTGTTCCTTTGTTGAGCCCTTTCCACTCCCAGCGTGCAGACCCAGCACCACCATAGCTGAGACATCGTCAAACTGGATAACAGAGGTCGCTGTGCCCAGGGGATCCCTGAAACTCTACCTCCCCCAACTCGTGGCCCCACTCAAGCTACATCCAAATATATCTTTGGCAAGTCCAGTGCTCCCTGATGAGCAGAACCAAGATTCACACTAGGCAGCTGGCCTTGGTTTCTGGTGTGACCTCTTGAGGCAACTATAAGCACAACATTTGTGGATTGCTTGCTGAATCTTAACAAGTGGCCCTAGAGGGCACAGGCTGGGCCTAAATTTGGCCTGCAGCTGAACCTCTCTCAGGACTGTGCTACTGAACAACTAATACACAAAGCCACACTAATAAGACCAGGAGACTTAGGAACTTTGTTTAGTACTTAGAAACAGACACAGAAAGGCAGCCAAAATGGGAAGATAAAGAAGAAGAAACCATATGAGAACAGAACAGAGATCCAAGAATAATGGAGTCAAGCAATCTAAGATGCAGTTAAAAATACTGGTTATAAAGATGCTCAATGAACTTAGGGAAAGTGTAGATGAACTCAGTAAGAAGTTTAACAAAGAGATAAAAAAACATAAAAATGGAAATGGAAATTAGAAAAGGGAACCATTCAGAAATGAAGAACACATTATCTGGGACAGATAATCATTGGACAGAATCAACAGAGTGGATAAAGAGGAGGCTCGAACCACTGATATAGAGGATGGGGAGCCAAGGGTACTCAATCAAAATGGCAAGGAAAAAGAAGCCAAGACTATAATAATTTAAGAAGCCTATGGGACACTATTAAATGTAAAAATATCCATGTCATCAGGGTACCTGAGGGAAAACAAGAAGTTGAAGAGCTATTTAAAGAAATAATGATGGAAAACCTCCCTCTTCTGGTGAAGGTGATAGACATACAAGCCCAGGAAGCACAGAGAGTCTCAAAAAAGATGAACCCAAAGAACCCCACATCAAGACACATCATAATTAAAATGCCAAAGGTTAAATACAAAGAGATAATCTTAAAAGCAGCGAGAGAAAAGCAGTTAGTTACCTACAAGGGAGTACCCATAAGACTGGCAGCTGATTTTCCAAAAGAAATCATGAAGGACAGGCACAAAATATTCGACATGATGAAAACCCAAGATTACAACCAAGAATTCTTTATTTAGCAAAGCTATCATTTAGAGTCGAAGAATAGATAAAGAGTTTCCCAGACAAAAATAAGCTAAAGGAATTTATCGCCAACAAGCCAGTATTATAGGAAATGTTGGAGCAACTTTTTAATAAGAAAAAACATGTATCAAAAACAAGAATAAAGAAGATAATAACTACATTCCTATCAACAAGTACCTCAAATGGAAAAGTATTAAGTGCTCCAACCAAAAGACAGAGTGGCTGAATGGATAAGAATTCAAGACCCTTACACATGCTGCCTACAAGAGACTCACTTCAGATTAAAAGATATACACAGACTAAAAAGAAGGGGATGGAAAAAGATATTGCCTTCATGGACCTAGAAGGTATTGCACTGAATGAAATGGATTGGATAGAGAAAGACAAATATTACATGATTTCACATACATGTGGAATCTAAAGAACAAAATCAACAACAACAACAACAACAACAACGACAACAAAAGGAGTAATAAACTCATAGATACAGAATATTTTGAGGGATACTAGATGGGAGGGAGTTTGGAGGGACAGAAAAAAAAGGCAAAGAGATTAAATGGTACAAATGGATAGTTGCAGAAAAGACATGTAGATGTAAAGTGTAGCATGGAGAAGATGATTAATATTATTGTAATGAATATGTAAGGGGAAGAGCAGTACCAGATTTAGTGGGGTGATCGCTTTGTGAGTTTTGTGGATCTCTGATCACTAGGCTGTGCAACTGAAACTGATATATTATTGTATGCCAACTATAATTGGAAAAAAAAAACTCATTGAATTGCACAATGTGAATACAAGCAGCTAATTGTCTATTAGATTTCAATAAATTCAGAAAGAAAAATAAAATAAAATATAAAAAGGTTCTTATCACAACAGAAAACTAAAAAAATCTGTCTTGAGCCTTTGGGTAGTTATAGGCTAATGATGACTATCTGAATCAAGTTTGGTTTTCTTGAGGGTTATCTACCTTTTCACCTTAAAAAATTAAGTTTATTGTTTTTCCTAGGTCAACTTATTGTTATTAATAATTAAGCAAGCTCAATTTTCATGAAACAAAAATTCTTACACTTTGAAATGGTAGCACTTTTGTATAGCATATATTTTAGGATCTGTAATGATACAAATTAATTTGTTTTAGAAATAAACTTTTGCAAGTGGGTAGAAAAATCATGCCTCTCCTCCATCTGCTCTAATTCTCCCTTACTTTGAGTGTTGCCTTTCCAGCCCCAGGAAACAGAGAAAGAGCATGACATTGAAATTAGATGGAGCTGAGATTGAATCCCAGCTCTACAATTTAATCTGTCATTTAGATACATTACCTAACCTTTCTTAAAATGTTTTATCCTTTACACAGCTAATATGAAAGAGCATTCTACTTACATACTAGGTTTTAAATCAACTTTAATTCTCTTCCCTTTTTCTTCTATTTTTCCCCAGAAGGATTTTTTTTTTTTGAGGGGAAGTAAGTCTCCCAAAGCATCTTTGGGGGATAAATTGATGATGATACTTTGTTTGGCTCAAGTGATTTTCAAAAGACAATAAGACAATGACCAGATATTAGTTAAAAGAAATATTTTAAATAGTTCTTTAAAACTGAGAAAGAGTTAAGTGTGGTCCCATGTTTTGCAACAGAGGGTAGATGAACATTTATGCATATTTTTCTTAACATATGTGATACATAGTTAAGCGTGCTGTGAAAGGATCACATTAAAAGCATAATTAAGATTATGAACTCAATAGAAAATTTAGGGATTAAATCGAAAATTGTAGCTCATAGTCAACTAGTGTTTGCATACAGTATGATAGTATTCGAGGCTGGGAATACAGTGTCTAATGCCAGCCAAATAAATACTTGGAAAGTTTCAAATAAAAGTAATTTCTAGATGTGCTTTTGTTCTGATTCAGGAAATTTTTGTCTAGTCTGAGTTTCTAAAACATAACCTGAATTCCTTGGGTGTAAATGACCAATGCATGGAGTTGTCCCTGTGGTGTTCCTTGTGATTTTGCTTTTCTGCTAATTAGTGTTGAAAAGAAAAGGCTTCCAAGGACATGGCTGCTCGGTTTTCTCATGGTTATTTTACTTATTCTATGTCAACTTCAGAGTCATTACCACACTCGAATTCATTGCAAGTTGTTACAGAAATTTCATGAAAGTTGATGGTTTCATTATAATATTTCTTTTCACAGAATTCCTCCACCTAAAGCTCCTTCAATGAATGTCCTCTCTGCAGTAATCACAGAAGCTTTGGGAGTGGCACTTGTAGGCTATGTGGCTTCACTGGCTCTTGCTCAAGGATCTGCCAAAAAATTCAAATATTCAGTTGATGATAACCAGGTGGAGTATGCCTAAGCCCTTCTCCACAGCTATTGTATCATTGTACTGTGTATTCCAACATACTAAAAATGTTGAACTTATGAAAAATATAACTTGCCTAAATGTTTAGAAAGAATGGGTAGAACAAAACAAAAGACAAATCCCTAAATCATTCAAAGAAAGCTAAAAATCTGGCCTTCATGGGTTGGTGTGTAATTTTATTTTTAGAAAAAGAGACATCTTGATTTTCTTTTTAATTTGCTTCTGGGAGAGTATCTAAATATATTTTTCATTGCATACTTTGAAAAATTATGGATTTTAAAGTGCATTAGGTCTGCAGAAGCAGCTGCAGAATCCTGGTTACAAACACCAATTACCTCTGTCTAAATCTCACTCTAATACTATGTGTCTATAATTGTTTCTATGCTCCAGTTTTGACATCTGTAGAAAAGCAGTTTCATTCATTCAACAGATGTGTATTGATCCTCACTAATGTACCAGGCACTGGTCTAGGAACGGGGGATATAATAGTGTACGACACAAGTCATGTCTTTCCTAATCTCAGAATCTCCCAATGGCTTCCTATGATACTTATATAAAAAGCCTCTTAACCAAGATTTACTGTATAAAGCCCTACATGTCTTGCCAACATCTCTTTTTGTCTCTGATATCATATCCTTTTTATATTCTGTTCTAGTCACACTTACTGCTTTGCTTATTCTTGAACCTACTAGTCATGTTTCTAGCTCAGGACATTTGCATTTGCTTTTCCCTTTTTCGGGAACTGTGTTTTCTCAGATATTTGCGTGCCTCCTTTGTTCAAATGTTTCTTTCTTAGGGAGGCCTTCATTGGTAAGCTAAAGTATTAAACTCTAGATTTCTCACTCCCTCCTCCGCTTTACTTACCATATTCATCTTATTTATGATCAGCCTTCCCTCACTAGAAGGCCAGTTCTATAAGGGCAGGAATGTTTGTGTTGCTTACTGGCAACAAGAGAGGCAGGAAAACATTAGGTTTTTACAATAATCCAGGTGAAATTTGTTGACTTGGACCAGGATGTAGCAATTGAAGAAATGAAAAGTAGACAGATTCTGGATTGTATATGGATGCCACCTGGGAAAAAGGGAAGGGGTCAAGAATATTGTTATGTGCTGCTTAATGACAGGGATACATTCAGAGAAATATATTGTTAGGCAATTTTGTTGTGCAAATATGACAGAGTGCACTTACAGAAACCTAGATAGTATAGTCTACTACACATCTAGGCTATATGGTACAGCCTATTGGTCTTAGGCTACAAACCTGTACAGCATGTTACTATATAAGACCACACGAGATTAAATCAAGCACAAGAAAAAATGATACAAACCAGAGACTTGGTATACATGAAATGTATGAGGTTGCTATGGGAGTAACAGGGTATATTGTTTTACAACAAAATTTTTTTTAGTAAGTACAAAGAGTACCTTCTAAAATAATGATAAAAAGTGTAGTATAGTAAAATACATAAACCAGGGACATAGCCATTTATTATCATTCTCAGGTTTTGCGTACTGTATGTACCATATACTTTTATACAACTGGCAGTGCAGTTGGTTTGTTGACACCAGCATCACCACAAACATGAGTAATATGTTGCACTCCAATGTTACAATGGCTATCACATTACTAAATGATAGGAATTTTTCTGCTCTATATAATTTTATGAGTCTACTCTATGTGATCTGTCATTGACTAAAACATCATTATGAGGCACATGACTGTATCTGTAAAGCTTAGGCTCAAACATTTGGAATTTGGGATGTGGAAGAATGTGAGAGGACCAGGTTAGGGGTGGTATACTTGATTAAGTTTGGGATACTTATTAGCCATCCAAATGGAGGTGGCTGAGTGGCAGGTTGGCTATATGAGTCTGAAGTTCATAAAAATGGTCCAGACTAGAGATAGAAATGTGGGAGTAATCAGTGTGTATTTTGGTAGCTAAGATATAGATAGAGAAATGGTGCAATATTTATGATTGGCTAGATGAGAAAGAACCTGTATTGAGAAATGGTGGCCAAGGAGGTGGGAGGAAACCAGGAGGATATGAGGTCCTAGAAAAATCTAGAAGGAGACTTAAAGAAAGAGGAAGTGAGCAATTGTGTCAAATGCTGCTTTTAGGCCAAGTAACGTAGAAATTGACCATTGGATTTAGCATTGTGGAAGTCACGGAGTGGTGGGAACCAAAGCCTTGATTATAGTGATTTAAAAAATAGGAGAGAAATTGGCAACAGATAACAAATATCTTGTACTTTCCTATAAGATTGTTATGAGGAGAGATAGAGTTAGAGATAGAGATAGAGATAGAGATAGAGATAGAGATAGAGATAGAGATAGAGACAGAGATAGAGATAGATAGAGATAGAGATAGAAATATATTTACAATGGTTAAATCACAACTAATGGAGAGAACAGAAATTTAATACAAATGAGTTATTGACAAGTTGTACCTGTGGTCTGAAAAGTTGATTGTTACTATGAAATGATATGTTCTCTTATTATCAATCTTTTAGGAACTGTTGGCTCATGGCCTCAGCAATGTGATTTCTTCATTTTTCTTCTGCATACCAAGCGCTGCTGCCATGGGAAGGACTGCTGGACTATACAGCACAGGAGCAAAGACACAGGTACTTTATCGTCTAGCAGGGACAAAGTAACTGCTGTGCCTTTCTTTACTCTCCTTCTAGGAGAATGGTTGAGTGAGCTTCTCTCTAAAGTCCTGAAAATATTTCTACTTCTTCAATTTTTTTCTCACTAGTTTCAAAGAAGTCTGTCTCTTTTGTCTTTCTTCTGAATGATCCTTCCAGAAACTCAACGATTTCCGTTAGCTCTAAAAAAAATTCTGTACTAATGGCAATTTTATTGTGGCAACCTTTGAGCCAGAGCTCCCTCTAGTGGTACTCTAACCTTGTTTTTTGCTAAGCTAACCAATTTGAAACTGCCATTTTTGTGCACTTTCTTTAAATAAAATGAAATAAATTACATGCAAAATTAGTTATTGACACTGAAATTCAGGTATATGTGGACATACAGGTATGTGAATTAGTAATAAGATGTCTGTGCTTATTTGAGGTTAAAGAAACAATTACATATTTTTATTTTGACAATAAAATATTGTCAAAATATATAAAGAAACAATTACATATTTTTATTTATTTTTATTTGAGTGGCTGCTATATACCAGGTATTATGCTGGATACTGATAAGATGAGAATGATAATAATGAAAATGTAGCAGTGATGATGATAATGATATTGGTATTTGTGGAAGCATATATTGAGTTTTGTGCCAGGCATTGCCTGTCATTTACATACTATGTAAATGAACTCATTCAACCCTTTAGACAACTCTGAAGGAAGTATAATTATTATTCTCAGTTCCCACATGATAAAAGTTGAGGAAAAGAGGATTAAAGTAAATTACCCTGGTCACAGAGCTAAGGAGCTAACAGAGCTGAAATTTGAACCCAGACAGATTTATTCTAAATCTTGTATTCTTAACTACTGTTCTATACAAGAAAATTCGCGTATATGTTAATATAAAAATTAACATTAACAGCTATCTATTATTAAAACAATCCACATTTGTTTAAAATCAAAATTGAATAAAAATTTATAAAACATTTTATGTGATAATTCAAACATTTATAAGAGACCAACTTATAGTAAGTCTTTTTGGGAGTGATTGGAAGAATAAATTTGAAAAGGATATAGTTCTTGACCTTGGGGAGCAAGTAGCAGGAGAAATATGGGTAAATAGATGTTAAAATATAACATAAAACTAATAATAAATTATTGATGAATAATAATTCATGGAGCAGAGGAGAATGTATAATGATTTGTCAAATAATTGCCACAACTCATCAGCTAAGAAGTGAAATCCTCATTCATCCTTGTTTTACATGACAATTTAATCAAATTTTATGTAGTTAGTGACTTCGAGCATAGCTTTGTCACATGTATGGGCATAAACATTTTACAAACTGTACTTTCTAATGTGTCAGACCTAAATCTGAATGTTTAATAAGTAGCGTACTCAAGTATCATCCCTTACTTTAAAGATTTTTTTTATCTATAAAATTCTAGCATTCTATAGTAGTTTCTACTTGGTTTTTCCTGAGGGTGAGTATATTAGATTTCTTTTCTTCATGTTCAGGTTAGATAAGTAAAGGGAATGGTTAAGGACATGGATTGCAGAGCCTGGGCCTGTGTTCTGGCTCCACCACTGGTGATTGGGTGACTTAGCTTACATAATTTGACCTCTCTAAGCTAAGAGGCCTTGGCTGTTAAAGTAATTATTATAAGGACTAAATTATAAGGATTAAATTAATTAATATAAGGATTAAATGCATTAATACATGCTTATTTAGCACAATGCCTAAGCACCAAATAAATGCTCTTTCAAAGTTAACTATCACTAATTTTATTATTATTACTAAGTATTTTTATAATAAATATTATAATTATAATGAATATTATAGTAAAATATTTTCAGAATTTTTTGTTCAACATTTAATATTAAGATATTCTGGTTTGGTTGGGATGCAGAAAGTCAGTTTCTAGTCTAAGTTGCTCCTCCAACTAGCTGGGGAGCTTGAGCAAGTTAGCATCTTCATGATCACATGAACAGAGAAGATTGGAATAGAATCTGTAAGATTTCTTCCACCTAGAGTGTGTTCCATATCTGGGTTTCCTTAGGCATTTATTGCTTTTCTAGTTACTATTTTAGTAACAACAAAACCATCTAATTAATCTTTGTAACTTTCAATATTTAATTCTGAAAGATAATATGCTGAGAAAACATGCAGTTATTTTTAAATCTGGAATTTTTC